CGGATCTGCACCGGCTGCGGATGTACCTCTGCGCTAGATGTGTACATGCTTTTTTTCTTTTTTTTCACCTATTTATTTATCATAATTCTTTTATCTTCACTTCTTTTTTTATACTTTGCATTAGTTTTTAGCAATAATTCATATAAGATTTATTTCGAAAAGAAATAAGCTAAAACTGGAAAAAAACGTCCATGTCCACGCGCAATGATAAGCGAAAAAATTTTGATTCTTTTCATATTATTCTACATAAAGTCTGTCAGTAAGTAATTCACCTAAAATTCCTAGGAAATAACTCATAATATTAATTCTGTCCTTTCTCATCAAGTCGCGGGAAGGATAAATTTGGACTAGCATATTACAATGAATGGTGGTGCGTACGTAAGATCCCATCCCAGGCGAATATAAATTTTTTACGGCTTATTTTTTTCATTTAAATGTCTTGTTATCCTTAAATATTCTAAGCTCATGTGTCCGTGAGATGATGAAAAGTTTTATTGACTAGGTGGACAGTTGTGTTCGTTTAGCGAAAATTTTATTTCAGTAGATTCAGTCGTTAATATTGGTTCTTGAAGAAACTTTAGCAGTTGTGCTTTACGGTTATTTTTTCACAAGTTTTACAAACGGTTTTATATTCTTGGACTAGAATTTTTATTAAAATCGTTTCCACAGAAATGTACAAATTTTGACTTTCTTAACATGGACTACTAAACGTCGAGGTAAATGTAAGAAGAGTAATTGCTTTTTTCCAGTCAGTCTTAACAACACTATAGTGGAATACGACACACCTTAGAATACTCTACATCACTTCATTTAATACAGTTGCACTTATGATGACTTTTCAAAATAAAATGTAAGGTTTGGGAAACGGTCGGAAAAGTGATTCCACTCAATCCATTCTCAATGTCGATGTACTCAATTTCATCAAAAATTGCAACTTATAGATTGGACACAAAAAAACGAGACGGGCAAGCTTAGATCGATTCAGAAGCAAAGGGTGATTCTGCCTCAAATTCCCCTGCGAATGGGATACTTAACACACCCTTGCGTCACAATTGCTGCAAAGTATAGAAACCATTGCATTAAAAATAAAAATGAAAAGCTACTGATGGATGGTACAGACTTTTAATTTGTCACAACATCAAATATGGCTTCCATAAGGAATCGTTCCAATTTTATTTACAAAAATTAAATTCGTTTCTTGCATTCGTTCACATTCGTCTTTATTTCGTTTATTAGAACATGTTGCAGATAGCTTAAATCGTTTACTCATTTGACAATTTTAAAAGCAAAAGTTCCAAAATTATTATCACGTTTCATTCGAGATTACACTCATAGAGAGACATATAATTATAAAATCACATTAAAAGTACATTTTTATGTGTATTTATGTATATGTGCCTGTATGCCAATGTCTACAGAAAACTGCTTTCTCGCTAACAATTAAAAGAAAGTCGTCAATGACTCTTTGTTTGTTTGTCTCGTATTTACAAAGTCCGTCCATACGAAGCACTTTCATTAAAAAACTCTTCAGTCAAATATGTGCTCATATAAACTCAAAGTTTACCAGATCGTTTGTAAATACCAAGGTAAGGCTTAAATATTTATTATATTATATGATTAGACAGACATAAGACATTAATCATTGCACGTGTATATTATCTCAGCGAAAACTAAGTTACACGAGCTCAGTGCAGACAATTGCTTCATCTTGCAGATTGAATTGACAATTGTACGTTCGCAAATGGGCCTCGACTTGTCGGCTTAACCTACAGATAACTTTCCCATTTAGTTTTGCACATAAAAGCGACAACATATAACTGTCTACACTTGATTACCAAAAAACAAAACAAAAAAAAAAAAAAAAGAAGAAACTTATGGATGTATGTGTTTTCCAACAACTTTCATTTAACTTTTACATTATGATTCATGCACAGATTTCGCATTTACATCGTTGATAACATTTTCGTATTACTTAATACATCTTTCGATTACACGAACCCACGATTATCCGAAGCGATCGATAGAAAAAAGTAATAAAAAAAACATTTATCTTTATATCTAATACGGAGAGTGCAGAATGTGTACCGAAATATTGTTCTTAGACTTAGAAATGCATGTAGAACAGTTAGGAAGAGTCATCTTCTCAGTCTTTATATCTAATACGGAGAGTGCAGAATGTGTACCGAAATATTGTTCTTAGACTTAGAAATGCATGTAGAACAGTTAGGAAGAGTCATGAATATTGTTTTAGCGATCTGCGTTCGTCTGGCTGTGTGTGTGATTTTTTCTGCCAATTACAAGTTGAATAATTTTTATAGGTTAGATAGCTTAATCCTACCTAATAACGGTATGATTATGTGAGGTTATGGATGAATTCATTCCTTATATTCGAAATTCAGGCCATTCCATACGTATTATAGATCCTATGAAATGAAATATATGCACATTTTGACAGCCTTAGACTGTGAGTCAATGTAACTATGTTCCTCATTGCATCGGCTTATAAATCTTTTTGTTTGTCTGCTGTTTACAAGGCTTCACCATGGGACAGATTTTTTAAAAACACGTGTTCAGCTAAGAAACAGATATATCAAAAATATGGACGATCTTATTATCCCTTCGATCATTTGCTAAGCAATCTGTCATTTGTTATTGTAACGCTTGTTATTTGCCATTTTGATCGATAATTATTTGTCATTAGCACATACTTCGCCAGGGAAATAAATACAAACCTTTGCAGAAAAAAAAATGCGAAAAACTTTACTTATCTAAATCGAATTTAAAACTGGTAACAACACTATACCGGACCGCCGCTCATCGTTAAATACCCCATGCCACCTCCAGTTATTCATAAGACATCTTTTCAAAATAAGGTGATATATGAGGAGCTGTCGCGAAAACGATGCAACCCTAACTATTTTCGATGGCTTTCTTCCTTGGGTTCAAATAAGTTCGAAGAGTACCAAAAATTGCTGCATGACAGACGGATAAAGAAGTTTAGATCGATTCAGAATGAAAATACGGTAAAAGGTGGGTCTATCGCAAGTCCTTCTTGGTGCTGCCTATATCCGCACAAACTTAACATGCCCTAAAAAGACTTGTAGGGCATAAAAATTCTACTCTCAGTTTTTCTCAGTTTTGATTATTTTATATGTTAGGCAAATTTAGTAAATTTTCTGAAAACTATAATGGGTAGAGGACTTCATAGCATTACTACATTTACTATAGGTTATAATATATGTATCTATATATGAGCCTGACTTTTGATGAAAAAATGTGAACACATTTTTCTTTTCTCTTTAATTGAACTTTATTAAGCAAATACCTTCCATTTTGATCGGTAAACATTTTCTATTTCTCTAGTAACACCATTCACTGTCATCACTGAGAAAAACTGAACTGTTGGACGTTCATAGGCTATTTTTGAAGTCAACTTTGCGGTACTAACAGTGTAATAAGGAGAACGAAACAAATTGTAGTGGGACGCTATAAGATCCGTGTTAAGAGGACAACCCGTTATAAAAATTGCTCTGTCAACAAGCCCTTTCGACTTTGACCCTGCCATGATGTGATCTTATATGTACGAAAATAGCGGTCGGCAGGAGGTATGTAAACAACGACCGCAACCTAGTGCATTTATGTCTAACCGGAAGATATCACAACTTCATCGACTATGTATTCACTGCAGCTATGACTAAGTACGCCCTAGGGCGCTGAAACTTAAACATTGACTCGCTTATCTACACCGTTGCCGATGCGGCTATTTAGCAATTCTGGGCAACCTGCTTTCATTGCGCGTTACCCGTTGCCAGTAGAGTGTGGAGTCAATTTTCTCTTCAGGCTGGAGCAGCTCACGATTGGGGATTCGCTTCCAATACCAACAAATACAAAGCATTACCTTATATGACGCTAATCCGAACTTCGGAACCGTTTGCGCAGCTTCATGAATCTTCTCTCGCTTGTTGTCAAATGTGATTGACTATCTTATTTATTTTTTATTAAATTTTCCTTATTACTGTTGCACTGCAATATCACGCTACGTGTTGTGTCCAGCCCTATGTGAACTGTCCGTCTGCAAATATTGTCTCAGGAGACGAAAGATATCTCAATATTTTAAAAAATTTCATCGAGCTTCCTAACGATCCGTTAATAAGAACGCGTCCTTAACATTGAAATTTTCCCAGAGGAAATGACAAATTCATTTTAGTGCTACTGATTTGGGAGACCACCACCTCCTCTTTTGCCTCACTATATTCTTAGCTAAGGTAACGTTTCAACTACTAGTTGGCAAACGTGCAATTTCAACCGACTACTGTTAAAAAAGTAATTTGTTATATTTTAATTAGATTACTATCAAATATCGTCTAAGTCACAGGTTCATTCGTAATCTAAACTATCTACGTCTTGTGGTGTAATAAACTCTCTATGATATTTCGATATGTTATTTTATTTACTAGAATACATTTTTCAATAAGTTTTTACGATCACATAAAGATCTCGTCGGTATTGACGAATCGCTAAGATTCTAACCTAGTACTAGTCTGCAAACGAAATGTGTCACGATTTCATGACATACTGACAATTAGTTTACAAAATGCTGTTCCTTTAGTGACGCAACAAAGTAAATCTAAATTTTTCCATTGTCTTACAAAAATATAACTAACGTCAGGAAAACAACTTGACGACTGGATTCGTCGACAGCGGCTATGTCATTCTACGAACTTATTAGGCGGTCTGTTATACATTTCTGCTCATAGATCTTGTGCACTGGAAGTTGCAAAATTGATTGCCTTCACTCACGAAGCCCATTACGATTACGATAGCCCTATTATAATTGTTTTCCAAACCTCCTGACTCTTTCAATTTTTAAAGTTTGAGCTTATAAAGGAACACGAAGTGCTAGTAGTCGTAGTGTATACCAAAAGTTTCGGAATCTAAGTCGTACTTGCTTTCATTTCATACTTATTTTATATTCTAATCTTATCAACTAGTTCTCATACCTTTTTTAAGAGAGCATCCAAAATTTTCATGTATATCTTGAATATTGATAATAATCCGCTAAAGATTCGTTTACCTCAGTAACACACTCATATGAGCACATAAACACACACACACACACACACACAAACGTAAATGCTCGTTGACAAGCAGTTTATTATATGTACTTAATACAAACACTTTTGAGGATTTATTGCATGAAATATGTTACAAATGCTTTCGATTATTCGTACGTTTGTTTGTATGTATATGTATACACTTGGATGGCATAAATTAATGTTTAAGAGCCACTCCCTGTTAAGAAAGAATTTAGGAAAATTAAGACACTCAGCATATAAGAATATATATAGGTATGTAAATATGTATGTATTTAGTTTATAAAATAGTGGTGGGCGATATAATAAACGCGTTACTTTTAATAAAATTCCATTCAAATAAATTTTTTTTTAAAACAGTGGTTTTCTTAAGAAAAAAGACTTAAGGCGCAAACTTGTTTTGAATAGAGTAACGTGTGATAAAAATACGAATAACTTTTCTTTTTCTCTCTCTTACAAATTTCTTTTTAAATTATTCTTTTGCCATTCCACTATTAATCAATATATATATATATATATATGCAAATATATATATTTGTAAATTTGTGTAGAAAAGTAGAAAAAACGACAACAACAACAACAAAAATATTAAAAAAATACAACTATTGCGGTTTGTGTATCTTTTGTTTTTGTTACTTTAGACGCGCATACATATGTATTTATATAGGAGCGAGTGTGTAAATTTACAGATAGATAGATAGATAGACGCCTTATGCAGGTTGGTATGCAATTATGAAAACATTTGGTTTCTTTTTTGTGTTTCCCTCTCTTTAAGCTTTTTCTTAAGCAAGTCTTAACATTTTCTTCGTTTATCTTCCATTACTTCCCTTACAACTTTGTTTGTAAGCAAGTATGTTGTAGCGCTTTTAGAAATTCAACTTCTCACACAACTGCTATACTTATTTATAATTTGCATTATTTATTCTCTTTCGATTGGTTTTTGTGCTTCCATTCATTTATTTATTTCTTTAATTTATTTATCTTACAAAATGGAGTTGCAATGCTCTTAATATTTTGCTGGCCAAGAGAGTTTATCCTACCAAGATAATTTCATTATTTACGAAGTCGCAATGAACAGAAAAATCAATATATGTATGGGTGTGTGTATGCGTGTATAAATATATTCATTTTTATTTTTTTATTTATTTATTTATTTATTTTTTTTTGTTCTACAGAATGACACATAATTTATGAAATTTCTCCGTCAACTAATTAAACTGGTTAAAGTGCTTCGTTGGCATTCGAAAAGCGCATGAGCAAGAGTAACTAGAACACAATTGTATTCGTTGGTTATAATACTTGTGATCATGTTTGCTTAGAATTATCTTTCTTCTTTCTTTTTTTTTTATTTGCTTCCAAATCACATGAATATAATAATTTTTTTTTTAAATATTAATATCTTTTTATGCATTTATTATTAACACATACACATGCATTCGCTGTAATCCTTAAGTCTGCGCAATAGTAAATATATATATATATATTTTTTTTCTCTTTAATTTTTAACCAAAAAAAAAAAAAAAACAAAATTGTTAACTTAATCACTTGCCGTTTGCTGGTAACGCTTTATAAGAAGGCCAAATACTGACTGAAACTTGTCTTAAAATTACTTTCGAGCAATACCTGGAGAGGTTTTATTTTTCTTACAGCGTCTTGTGCAAGTGTGTGCCTTTGTAAATGCCATAAACGTTAAGCTACTACTCTACATACTCCACAATGTAAGCGCAAGCATATGTACGCACGCGCACTCAGGTACTTTTACTGAGCACAACCGGCTCATGGCTTAAACACTACGACAGAAAATTAACTCACTACACGGCATTTTATTATTATTTATTTATTTATTGTTTTTTTATTTTTTTTTATTTTATTGTATAGTACTTCTCGCTGCGTACGTCGTTCAGCAGCAACAGGTAGAAACCGACTGATCGATTAATGTTAACTGGCTGAGACTTGGAAGGTGATTTTTAAGATTGCGGCGAATTAATCTATTATAATCACTGGCAGATCATGCAGATCATGGCATACGTATATAGCTGATAAGCTTAACAATCGTTAACATTATTTATAATGAGGGATATTAAAAAAACTTTATAAAGATTGCGGCTAATGTGCAGGAGATAAACAAAATTTGTTTTTACTTTTTAGAAATTTTTTTTAAATTTCTTTAAAAACAAGGATAGTTTGGAAGAATCAAAAATTAATGAACATAAAGAAGCATATATATGTATATAAATGATACATGATGAATATAATGATATATGAGTTTATATTGATTAGTCAGAAACTTTCTAAACGGAAGCCCTCACCAAGTTATGACTTATGACTTAAATAGTATATATCCGCTGGCTTACCAATATTTTTTATCGATAGTTGACATATTTATCCATAACCGCGAATAAATAATTTTAAGACGAATTTTGAATACCTTACCAAAACAATAATAGTTAATAAAACAATGCAATGATATCCAAACAGAATATCTATCTCTTTTGGATAAGTCAAACAGAATCATGCTTACACGCTTAGGACACTTTTTAGGCGAATTTTCTTAACCCAGTCGAATGCCGTATAAAATGTTTTATGCGAATTTTATTCTTCACCGCGCGACCAAACACACGAAAAAACAGTAATTTAGCTCAACATAATGTTAAGGCTTTTTCTGGAAAGGCATTTCAAATTAAGAAAGTTTCAAGTTTGAAATTTCCTTCAATTACATGAGAACTCCTACATAGAGTCAGTAGATATTTTTGTGCAACTTCGATTAGGTTTTTTTAAATTGTCTACTTGTTGAAATATGAAGTGTCTGTTTGCGGTCATAGATCGACCTGTTCTCAAAAATGTGTACAGAGTCGGTGTACAGAGCCAGTAACTGTTTTTGGGCGAATACGATCGTATTCCTATCCTTGGGTAGTGGATATAAAAAATCAAATCGGTAGAAGAACTTGCTCACAATGCAGATGAGAACATCTCGGCTTTCTGGGTTGTTGCTTATTACGGACACACGATAAAAATTTCCGTTTATGTTCTACCAAAATGGCAGAAATCAATAAATCGTTCTGAATATTATAGAATATGGAAATTTCGGTTTTTCTTTAGTCTTTTTTAAGAAAATAATTTTGACCCTCTACAGCACTTGTGGTGCAAAGATACGTAAAGCTTGCGGGAATGCATAGCAGAAGAATTTGACAAAGACCCATCTTTTATTACACCGATCGATGCAGAATCAATTTTTTGTTTTAGGTCGGTCGTATATGTCCTTGTTGTCTTATCTGTCCTATGGATCGGATTGGTCTTGTGTTACCTGGTAAACTATGTGTCTGATTATTGAAGTATTGAGAACTTGCTTACATCTGCAGATTTTTTATTTTCAAAATTCTGCAGATTATCTTCAAATTTCAAAGTTTATTTATTATTATTATTATTTTAATTTTAGACTAATGAATTGAATTCTTAGACTAAAAAAAAGTTTATTTAAAAGTATCAAGTATATCATAAATCAAAACAATATGATTCGTCGGCGTTACCAGCATGATAATCGAATTTGTACACCTACGATAGTGTGAGAACACACAAAATTGAATGCAAAGGAATGCCTGAAAGACACAACGATTTCATTCTTTTTGCACTTTAAATGTAAAGTTGGGGGCTTCTACTTCTTTCTTAGCATTAAAAATTCAACACACATGCTAAAAAAAATAAATAAATAAAATACACATGCTAAACAGTTTGAGGCGCTCATAGGTAAGACTGATATGTATGTAGATATATGCCAAGCAGCCAATAGCTATATACACCAATTTCAACTTAAAGAGTCAATCAACTACTTTTTAAAGTGGCACCGATAGCATTTAACGGCATTGTTTTTTTTTCCATATGACATTATTGCGGCTAGAAAATGGAACGAATATTCATGTATGTATATATTCTTTCCTTTGCACATATGTCTGCATGTGTTTGCTCTGCTAGTATGATACGCAATTAATTCGATTATTGGTATTTTTCTTGATATATACCTATATATATATATATATATATATATATATATGCAAAATATAATGAAATACGTATATGTATACGTATCCACAAATGCATTTATGTACACACTAATACACCTACCGTCAAATTCATGTAACCAGAGAAATCGAAGTAACTGGTTCTTTCGCACTATCCCGACGACTGTCAGTGGGCGCTTGAAAGCAAAAATCGCTTTGCCATCATGCAAAAGATCTCCATTTATTTTCATATCTGGATCACTGAGCTAATGCGTAAAAATGCCGTATGCCAAATAGAAACAGCAGAGCAAAGCAAAGAAAAAATATTGTCTTCTTAACTAAAATTAATTAATGTTATTTGTATAAAAGAAATTAGACTGTAACGCTTGAAGGCATTACTTGGATGTTCATATTCATATATATGCATAAACAAACCCATGTGTGTAGCAATTGTTTGCAATAATAACCTTTCATTTTCATTCGCATTCGCGTTCACAATAAATGTCATCAACTACGTGCAGAGTTCTCTTTTAAATTGATCATTGACCTACACAGCACAACCAACATTACTGGCGATCGAATGCACTAATATTCATAAATTTATTCGCGCGACTATCATTTGTTGCATAGAAACAGGTGTGTGTTGTTACGAAGAGTTTTAACCATTGGAGGTGTTTTATTTACTTACTTGGTTGACGGGGAGAAATAAATGCATCCCAGGAATATCAAATCGTTAACATTACAATACAAAATATGACAAAAAGAAGAAAGACATTTGAGGAAAGAAAAAGTTACATTCAGTTCTTGAAATGACCCATAAATCGTGGACCAGTTTCCCAGTTTCCATAGTCGTAAAGCGAAATGTCAATCTGTCAAGTTTGTGCCTCGTGTGAGCACATTAAAAGTATGTGTAGGTATAAGTGATCTCATGTTATGGTTTTTCGTTATTTTCTTTAAGATCTTCGTTCGTTTCGTAAGGGTGCAAACTTGGGAGCCTATAAAGTAAAAAATATGAAAACAAAAGCTTTAAATGTGCCTTGCAGTTGCATGGATTGTCTTACCTAATGAAATTTGATAATTCGGAAAATTAGTACAGAAATATGAAATTGAAATGCATAAACTCTTTATTTTCTTTTCTTTCCGTTCAATAATTATAAGGAGTACATTACTTTTATTTTAATATTTCTCAAATTTATTGTTTTTTTTTTTTCACCACTTGTATGCCCTGATATAGACCTGTGTAATACCCGCTCATGTACCAAGACGCAAGCATCGCCGACAGATGTTCGGGGATAACATTTTTCTTACCCGTAACAAACATTGGAGGAATTGGAGGCGGAGGAGGCATAGTGACTCCATTTTTCTTCTCGCCATCCTTCTTTGAATTTTTTTTCACTGAATTGCCTTTTGGAAAATGATTCGATGCTTCATCAGACTTGGATTTTGTATATTGAAGATGGCGAATTTTTTTACCCCATGATGGAACGAGATCACATATATTTACTTCTTGTTGATTGTTATAACCAATGTACTTAAGAATGCAAGTGCCAGCCTGTGAATCAATTGACAATATTTTTGCTTCGTAATCTTTACCATCAACATCATATGTGGCCCTTGCATAATCTCCAACTTTGTATTTTATTTCAGACAAGTTGTGTTTGTCTTCTAATCCTGAGGATTTGTTAGCGCAGTCTTGATTAGTTGAAAATTTGCATGTAGACATTGTTAGGTGTTTTGCTAATTTTTCCGCAGCTAATTTGCTACAATAATCATTGATTAATAAAGTATTATCTTGCAATAGTTCCTCGATTTTTTTATCTAATTTTGAGTTCGTTTTATTTGCTGACATTTTTAGTCGAGGCAAAATGAAATGTATACTATTTTGTGTGAATTAGAAACTGTGTTTGCACAAGATAAAACTGAAAATATTTATTTAGGCAATCGTTTGTGAAAGCTTTGCGAAGCAGTCTAAAGGTACCGCTCAAATATAAATATGGATACGATCAGGCATGGAAAAAAACATTGATCGACGAGTCCTAATGACGAATGTTTCTTAACAATAATCGGTATTACGTAGTACTTGATAACCATATAAAGTGGAAGATGACACCAAAGTGCATGGATATTCAAATATTCTCATTGGTAGCTATTGTTCTGATTCCGCATCTGTTTTTATCTGCGTTTTTGTTTGATATTCCTTACTCTATTCCGTTTATTGTTGAACATTATTGCGTGTGCTTTCACTTTTTTCTAGTTGTATTATTTGATCCAAAATCCAAATTATTCCTTTTGAAGATCGAACTGCCCACGTTTAGTTATGGCATTTTGAAAATTATACTTTTATTCGTACTTCGTTCACATTTTTCGTTTCTCAATTTTACTGCATTTATAAATAAAAAGTTAAGTTAAACATATCTTGCGCTAAGGCTTATAGGCTTGAAAAACGTGGATTAAAACCATAATCATAGATTTTTCTTTAACTGTTTCTAGTAGATGTCTAAAAGAATTGTATCCAATATCTACTTTTCAATATTTATAATTTCTGATTCCACTCGTTTCACTTTCCTGCCTCAACTGCATAATTTCATTATCTGCTGTTTTTTGAACAATGCTGCCAAGTTATCAACACAGCCAGCACATCGAATGCAGGGTTGCATTCCATATGCTAATAAAGAATTAATGATAACAATTGGGGAGCTTTTTCATCTTTTCTTTTCAGTTTTCTGTCTGTATTCCGATGTTTGATAAGTTGAACGGGTTTGCGAATTTGTAGATAATTATTTTTACTGTAAAATTAAGATCCAAAAAATATATTCATATACATAATTTGTATACGTAAAAGTATAATATCGAGTTAAACGACACGATATATATATATATATATATGTATATACTATATATATATATATATATATTTGTTAACTACTTTGTTGAAACTAAACCAACAAGTGCTAAAGTAACACAAGTAACATATTTTAGAAGAAGGAATGAAAAGGCTTGGTAGAAAATTTCTCTAATTGGATAAGTGGAATTTTCTTATTCAACACACAATACTGTGGAGTAAACGAGAAAAAATCGATTATTCAATAGACTGATGGTTATTTAATGCATTGCATAGCTATTGAACAAGTGTAAATTTTAATTTTTAATAACTTCATGAATTATGTCCACACTTTTCACAAATTTAAGCAGCAAAATCATTTGACAAATTTTTGAAAAGAAAAAAAAAACATCGAGGTTACATTGGTTAAAAATGTGTACATAGCGAAAAAACGAATCGTGTTCTTTTTTACATACATACACACACGCACACATATAAACATATATGTCATAAATAAGTACGAATAACCGAAAACGTAACGAGAACACAGAAAGAAGAAGCAACAGCCCCGCAAGTATATAGTAATAATAAAAAAAAAATGAATTAACTGCTGTTGTAAAATTAAAGGGAAAAAACGTAAACGCAAAGAAAAGAAATTAAAATAAAATCTCTAATGAACAAGTGTTTGTAAAAATATTCATTTACTTTTGTAATAGTATGTATGTATGTATGCACGTATTTAAAGAGATATAAACATAATGTATATTTCTAAAACCTTATTACGAAACAAGTTTTAATATTTTTTTTCTTTTTGTACATTCTTCTCTTATAAAAATAGAATTATGAAAAAAAATCTGCAAAATATGACAATCTTTTACTATTTCAATATGCATTAAGTTGATGTATAGATACATAAATATATACGTACGTACATATATACATACATACACACTTATACATATGTGTATTTATATATATTTGGTGCACTTTTTCAGATGATATAGTGTTGAAAAAGAAAGTGTTTAACTAAATCATTACTAATCAAATCGGAAATTAAACAAAGTCAAAATTTATCTTCCTCACAAGCAACAGATGCCTCTCTGAATATATCTAGATGCAAACCCATGTGAATAATTGACTTTAATTAAATCGGTATGCAAATATAAAAAGCGTGCGGATTAATTTATCCTTATTTCATTTGTGGCAAGTGTTTAAGTAAATCATTCAAGATTGCGAAACATATTTTAAATTTTTTAAAAAAGAAAAAAACCCAATCCACATCGAATCCTCCCAGCGAAGAAAAAACCAGCCAACCAAAATCTTCACTAAAGAAGCAGCAACAGTGTGAAGATAACAGTTGTGGCTCTAGCCCCGCTGCAGAAGAGGAAAAAAGCCGCAAAATAACACCGCCCACGGGTCCAAATTTTACTACTTCGTCTCCTACTACGCAGGCAGCAGCCGGCGATAGTTTGGACGTCGGCCGCGGCAGTGCTACGATTCAAGTGCCGAACTTCCGTATTTCCTCTCTGACTGGTACTATTTCGAAAATGGGTAATAATGCTACAACTTCCAATAAAAAAGTCGACGCTGCCGAAACCGTTAAGGAATTTCTCGAGCAAGCGAAAGAGGAGTTTGAAGACAAATGGCGCCGCAATCCTACAAATACCGCATGCCTTGACGACTTTGAGCGTATCAAGACATTAGGTACGGGCTCATTTGGGCGTGTAATGATCGTGCAACATAAACCAACAAAAGACTATTATGCCATGAAAATACTGGACAAGCAAAAGGTTGTAAAATTGAAACAGGTCGAGCATACACTTAACGAGAAGCGCATTTTACAAGCTATCTCATTTCCCTTCTTAGTGTCGCTGCGTTATCATTTCAAGGACAATTCTAATTTGTATATGGTACTAGAGTATGTGCCTGGCGGTGAAATGTTCTCACATTTACGTAAGGTGGGTCGATTTTCAGAGCCCCATTCTCGTTTTTATGCAGCCCAAATAGTATTAGCATTCGAGTATCTGCATTATCTGGACCTTATCTATCGCGATTTAAAGCCAGAAAACTTGCTAATCGATTCACAAGGTTATCTCAAGGTTACCGATTTTGGTTTTGCTAAACGTGTAAAAGGGCGTACCTGGACTCTATGCGGTACGCCCGAATATCTTGCGCCCGAAATCATTCTTTCTAAAGGCTACAATAAAGCAGTCGATTGGTGGGCCTTAGGTGTTCTTGTTTATGAAATGGCTGCCGGTTATCCGCCATTTTTTGCTGATCAGCCAATACAAATCTACGAGAAGATTGTATCAGGAAAGGTGCGATTTCCCTCGCACTTTGGTTCCGATTTAAAAGACTTGCTTCGCAATTTGTTGCAAGTCGATTTAACGAAACGTTACGGTAACTTGAAAGCCGGCGTTAACGATATAAAAAATCAGAAATGGTTCGCTTCAACAGATTGGATTGCAATCTTCCAGAAAAAAATCGAGGCGCCCTTTGTACCGCGGTGTAAAGGACCCGGCGATACCAGCAACTTTGATGATTACGAAGAGGAGGCGCTTCGGATCTCAAGCACAGAAAAGTGCGCCAAAGAGTTCGCAGAATTCTAAATGCACGCTCATCTCTTTCTTTTCATCCTTACCCCAGTCTCTTAACGCATTTGTGCGTTCGCATATGTTCGTTTCTTTTTGTTGATCTACAAAAATTTCTTAAAAGTATATTGATTCGGTTTTGTTCACAACACGCCGTATTATAATTATGAAACAAGTAAGCCAAGCAGCAATTAAATAAAAGAACGCAAAAAATAACTAAATGAATAAAGACACAACACATAGAATAATGAACCGGCAATTACAGTGTATTCTTGTAAACGGGTTTAACAAATTAAGTATAAATATAAAATAAAATGAAAGAAAAATAAATAACTTCAGTAGCTTAAAAGGAAGAAAGTAAATAAATAAATATAAATATAAAAATAAAAAAATCCAAAAACAAAAGAGTAGCAACTATTTTGAGAGAGTGCAATTTGTAAGCCTCAAATATATACCTCTCCTTGTCTCATCGTCAATAGTCAATCAACACAACACAATCTCACCGCTCCATGGAACAAACGCCACGAGTTTGTGCATATGATCTTCTGCGATATATACAATATAATCATATTCACGCTATTGGATTTTTTCAATATCGTAGGAAAACTTTGCCAGCGGTACATGAACTCATCTTTTATAAACTACAATTTTGCTCTACTTAACACAGTACTATTACATTGTACAGGACACCACAAAGTATGTTTAATTATATTTTTCTACCTATACTGTAATTTGCGCGAAGTGTTTTTTGATATTTTCCATAAAAATCATTTCAATTTGGCATATGATCTATGCGTGTGTGTGTTCATATCTTAAAGTATTTCGTCTTCTTTAGGAAAGTTTATGTAAATCGATGCTTGAGCATTATATGTCATTTAAATGTCATTTTTTATTACTAGGGCAGGGCTAATGAATGAACTGTTTATTGCTTTAGTTCAACGAGAGTATTTGCTTATAATATGCAGAAAAATTTTATCGAAAATCTTCAAACGTCTATCTTCAAATGTCTATGGAAGGCACACGGCTGTTTGCATAAGGACTTGTCAAAATACTGCTTTATACAGAAAGTAGTCGAAAAGATGGTCCGATTCCAAACGCTTCCACTAGCGTCGGCACTTAGGCTTTAGTAAAACTTTCATCAAGACAACATGAAAGCTTTGACCTGTAGATTGGGAACAAGAAAACAATATAAACAGACGGACAGGCGAGCTTAGATGGACTCCAAAAGCGATTCTGAATTGATTGGTAGAATGAAAGATGGGTCTATCGCAAGTCATTCTGTGTGTTGCATAGATCAGCACAAACTTAATATACACTCGTACCACAAATGGTGTAGGGTATAATTTCAAAAATGCTTATATCGATCGAATAGAATTGATTTTTGTGCTCCCTTTTAGTCACCTATAATACTTATAAGCCACCACTCAAGGGTACTAGATGCATCAGTCAGGATTGATTTTCAGAGAGCTCTACGAAGTATTTATGCAAAATACTTTCGTTGATATTTGCTATGTATGCAGTCACCCAAGTTGTTGAAGTTGTTTCTGCTTATAAGCAACTGTCTATACATTTGTAGACAGATTACGCCGTTTTTCAAAGTTATTCTGTAGATTTGCCTCAGAAGAGCAAGTCTCCACATTCAGCTCTCTGGCCGAACTTCATGGCATTCAAAATTTTACTGAATGCAAAATACTGTCCCCGAATTGTGATTTAGCAATTAAAAGTTTAAAAGCTATCGCTGCGATACTAACATAAGAACGTAGAAGCCAACCGCTTGGTAATTTTCAGACGATAACAGTCTTCATTCGTGTATTTGGCCGTCTTTAAGCCATCATGTTTGAATTTGAATTGCTATGAGAGTTCTGCATCGGATGATGGAATTGTTTGAACCACTTCCTCCATAGCCATAGAATCAATGGATGGTATACAGATTAGAAATAAAAGCCTGTATGAATGTATACAAATCGACAAAGATTCGTGTTTATATTAATCATCGAACTTAACCTTGTATAAAATACATCCTTGATATAGGGCTTAATACAGTTTGAAGCCTTGGCGCCGGCGCCGCATGACTTCAAAATCAATGCGAATCATATTTAGGAATTTTACCTAAAACTTCTTCTGTATGGTTTGTTCAATGTATATTCGCCACACCGGGCATCCCAAAATTTTAAAATACTTTGCTATCTGTCGCAATAATGTTCGATTCGAAAGAAAGATGTGTAATTGATTAGAACCAACAATTTGTCGTAGATCGTTAACGTTCGAACTTTTCTCTGCCTTATTGGCACAAAAGTGCCATAAATCGCCATCTTCTTCTGTAAGAAACTTAATTAACTCACTTAATTAATACTAGAGGTGATCACAGTAAAAGTTAAATGACAAGTGTTTGGACGGGGATTAAAATCTTTAATATTCTCCATTTATTTTGATACAAGCATATTAATAACAGTTTCACTTACCTTTCCATTATGTTTCAAAGCTTCCAAGAAACTAAGTTTTTGAGAGAAAATTGGCATTAAGTGATTTAATGTAATCAATGGGCGCGATCTTGTCTTTATTCCAGTAAACATAATTATTTGAATGTCATTTGATAACTAGATATGCAAGCAGTTACTATTCGAAAACCAAATTTCGTGTCGGTGGTGGTTCATAGTTTGCCCGACCCTTATGGACAGTTAGCAGATTGTCCAAATATAATCCGTTTCGACATCATACTCGTTCAAGATCGGTTGAGCAATTTCAGCTCGTTTCCTATTTTGCTCATTAGGCAAGAATTTGAGTATCCCTATGATACGTTGTAGGTAGTCTTTTGGCTTGCCAAGCAAAGTAGGAAAGCAGGTAGTTGGGATGATAAATTTCAATAGTCTGAGATTAAACGGATATTGAAGTAATTTTTCTTTCAGTTGCACAGCTGAGTACCTATGCATTAGGAGATTGCGTTAATTTTGATAGTTTTGTCACTTGAAAAATGCATTAATTGTAGAAAATTGTGACAATATATATTAATCAAAATACTTTACATCATTTTTTACAATATTTTACAATATTTTTGGCGACAAGGTGATATCATGTCGAAAGAATTTATATTGATTTGGCAGCGATCCACAGACCGAAACATTTTCCCATTTCTTCAATTTTGCGAACACACGCCTTGTCTGGTGAGTACGCTGGATGTGGCGGGGCCTCCCATTCGAGCTGCAACGGTGTATCCTGGACAACTCTTACAACAACGGGACAAACAGTGGCATTTTTAGTCAATTCGAGTCGTCATTTTCCAATGGTTGGACCCAAAACCGATAACTGGGATATGATGGAATAGTATTAGCTCCGAAGCTAAGCTTCTGAATGTGCTTGGTAAGATTCGGCAGGATATTTCTTCAAATGAATAGCAAAAGTAATGAATTTGGCAGAAGAAGAATTTTTCGCGCTCCACGATTATCGTCGGCGCATGCCGAAGTAATCAATAATATTGAAAGGAAAACTGTTATTTTATGTATAAGACGATCGAAACGATCGAATTCAACCGTAATATATACTGGTTTTGACCTTTTCTTTGTAATTTTTACCTCTAAAAGTCGCCTATCAAAATTAACGCAACCAAAAGGTATTGCGTCGCGGATATTCTCTCCACTATGCGAAATCCAGTTTGCCTGCCGTGTTCGTTGCATTATTAACTTGTTTGTTGGAGAATTGAGTATTAATTCAATTTTTGATGCAGGGATTTACTTGCAAACTCTTGCTCAGATACACACGTGAGGTAATTGCTATTCACAAAAGCTGTTGCTTAGTTAAAATTCTTTCCGCTAAAAGTGCTGCATACGCATTCGCCACCCAATCTATAAAGCGGGGGAAAAGACACGTTTTTAAATTCAATACTTTTTATAAAATTCCAAACGTATCTTATCTTCATATTGTAGCCCTTGAAAAGAAAAAAAAAAAACAAAATATTCTGAAGTAAATCATTCAGATCAATCAATCATTCGATCTCAATCGCCTAATAATTTACTAGAGCACTTATAGTATAGTAGATCAAATAGGAACCCATTTGCGTTAATACTACGCTCATTCTTGGGCATGTAAATTGCTCTTGTTGCTCGTAGTAGTAAGCGACTACTATTGATGATTATGGAGCAAGGTGATTACTTCAATAATCTTTCACTCGAATTATACTTATACTTATGTTGTAACCTCTTTTCTACATGATACTTATGTCTTGATACTTGTATTTTGTACAACTATGTACATTGGCCTATGGCTTTGTAGTTGCAAATAATAAAAGAAACAAAAAAGAAAAAAAAATGTTATGACAACATGAAAGAAAACAAATACAAGTCATATATATGTATAAATATAATTCGTTTTATTTATATATGATTTTCTTCTTTTGTTTTTTTTTTTTTGTTTTGATAATTTTGTTGGGTTTAATTTTTCTTTCGAATTTGAGCCATGGATAAAAGAATGTCGAAGTAAAGCATCAGGACGTAATTCAACTGAATAAAAGAATTTAGTTTGATTGAATGATTTGCAGCTCGACTCCGATTTGGCAAACGTATCAAGTCAATGTGACAGCACCCAAAGCTTTGCTTTAACCGTACCGCCCGATTTTGGAACAACCTACCATTTCTAGTCTTCCCCACTCTCCATTTCCACTCTCCAAAATACTACGATCTTTCTTTTTTGTATAGTAATGTAAACGTTATCGAGCAGCATCGTGCCCGCAGGTGTTGGGGACATGCCCTGAGTGGCTGGTCATAGGAAAAGAACGGCAAAATTTAAAGCCCAGTTCTTCATGAAAACATAATTGTGATCAATAAGAAACTTAACTAAATGCCGTAAGTTAACGATGCTACTTAAAAGTGTTTCAACTTTTCTAATGCGTTATGACGTACTTTATGACGTATAATCGATATAAGCATAAGTTCTGTAACGGATGCAAAAAAGGTGTAATAAGTGCAATTTAACCAAGTCTCCGCCTCTATATTGCTTTTAATGGCGAGAAAAAAGAAAAAAAAAACATCGAGATTAAAATAATAGATATTTTACGACCATTTCATGGACACTTACACGAGTGTTTAGCGCTTGCTAGGGAAGTAACAATAATATCTCGCTATGTTTTTTTGCAACACCAGCAGATATTGTTCAGAAAAATTTTTGGCAATGTTTTTGATATTGATTTTCATTTACATCATAAAAATTGCGATGTTAAGCGCAAATGCAAAATTTAAAGGAACAATTTTGCTTACGATTTCAAACCTCATTGTTGTGCACATTTATGTCCTCTAACGAAAGCAAAAAAATAACAAAAATTCCATGCCGATAGTGGATGTGGTTGTAGTGATTTCTTCTTTCATTAGACTTTACACTAACACGGATACAAGAACAATGTTTCGGACAACAACTACTATTATCAACGTTGGCGTCATTTTGGAGAAGTTTTGATTTAAAAATATGAGACCAAGGAAATCCTAGATATGCTGGATGTACTTTCTTCAACTGTGTTAAGTAGCTTTGGTACTCTGTTCATAGTGGAAAAAAAAAAAATGCAGTTCTCTAAATTAGCCAGTGAGCTACAGCCATTCATTGTTAGCAAAACTTTTACTCAAGCGATATTTACAAGACGTTAGAAGTTTAGAAGAAAAAAGTAATTTAAGGCGACTAAAGCAATTACTATGACGTACGTGTGAACTGCAGCA